TTCGATCTATCTAATATATAAAGAATCACAAACGCAATTCAAAAATCTTCCAAAAGCGGGCAATCGAGGGCGGTCCCAGCGCGGGCCCGCACATCTTGCACTTTTACATTGCGGGTTCACTAGTGTAGCTATAGAATCAAAGCTGATTGCAATTTTGTCTTGTTTTGAATTAGGACTTCAAAAAGTGAAATGATTTACAATGCAGCTTCGAATCGAAACAACACAGGATGTTTTTACAAAATTGTCTGTATCCAATGTCGGTCTTGAAAAAGTGAAGTGATCACAAAATTCTGCGAAAGACTGATAGTCTGAGAAAGTGAAGAACACAGAAATGTCTAAGTCATGATCCTAAGAAAAACTGGGACATTCACATAGTTGATTGGCAAGTTTTTATAAGAGCTGCAGTAATGTAATGTCTTACGTCAACAGTGCACATGGTACTCTGCATCTGCACCCGTTCCACGTCATCGGTCTGAATCACTACGACAACAGGGAAGTACAGACCTCCAGAGTAGGTAAGCTGTAATGTAAATACTTGCGCAAAGAGTCACATAAAGTAGGGGATGCTAGGCGATTTCGTATGGTACGAATAATTAATGCTTCTTAAAACTTGAAACTGATAAAAGGATAAAGAAAGCAATAAAATACCCACATCAGGCAAATCCCATTTGGCAGAATCGAAGATGAAGTTGTTGAAAGTCTGGTCGGAACCAGTGTCAAAATGGTATCTATCCGAACAAGAGACACGTTTGTTACGGTATGCAAATCTGAGCGTTCCAAATAAGATCAACATGAAAGAAATTGTGAGAACTTACTGGATTTCGCCGTCCTGATAAATTTCTCGTGCATTAAAATGGATTTGAACAAAACATGAGCAATCAGCGTCTAACGTGAACTCCAATCGGTATAGAGTTGACTCGTTTTGCGCGTCAACTTCATTCTTCAATCTGCAAAAAAGCTTTATTATTAATGACAAAAAGGCTACATGTTTCTCTGAAGCTAAAAACGGATAATAAGAAGTAAAACTG